TACGTGACCACTCGTTGGTAGACATAGGATATTACGGCCATTTATCGAATGTTCAAAAGTGTCTCGTCAAAAATGCTCGCTTACATACATGCCATTATTTATCTACAGAAATAAAAAAAAAATAAAAACTTCACGTCCAGTTTTTATTTTTTTTTTTATTTCTTCTTCAAACTTTAGGATATTATTATAAACATGTACACCCGCTCCTGATAACGCCTTTATTGAATAGTAGCTATATACAAGTTAAATACATAGTAAAAATAATACACTATGAGGTTACCGTGAATAAATTGCTCGCGGCATACATCTAGCTCCTACACAAAGAATAACCCCGTTGGCCTTTTAAGCATAACTTTTCGTCAGAGGTCTTCTCTGCATTGTTTTAGGCTCCTGCTTACTTTGAAAAGTATGGCAGGTTTTCCATTTTGGCTCACTTGCGTTTTCTACATGACAGTTGTTTGCCTGCGACATTCTTTTGAAGGGCAGCAGTAGAAGTCGGCGCGAGCGGGGAGACAGCCGCCTGTCCCTTCTCTCCGCCTAGGGTGTCTTACTCGAAAGATCAGATTTTATTTCCAGCACTCTGCCACTGCGTCTGTTCTTTCTCACTTTTAGGCATTTTTCCCGTCGCCTACCCGTTCCGAAGCTCGTCAGTCTGCTGATCGTTGGTTTGCTAAATTCCTGGCTTAAAGATCGAAGGGGCGGAGATGAAAAACGGAGCCTGTCATCTTGTCTCTTCTCATCCAAATGCACGAGCAATTGGCACGACTCGAACGAAAACCTTGTATCGTGCTAATTAAAAATAGAGCAACGACGATAACAACGACAGCTGTCATGTGTGTATATACATATATATCAAGAGGAGACGCCGGTTCTGGCTGTTGAGCAGAGCACAATCAGTGGGTCGTTAAAGATGCGTTATAAATCGAAGGTTACCCCAGGGTCACAGCTGGTGTGAACTAATGTCGTGCTGGCCCTCGTTGTAAGAGTTCTTCCTGACCTTATACCTCGTCTTCTGCCTTAAGATCCAGCATAATCAGGCTTAACAGAGCCTACCTCTGTACAAATACTCCGATAGTACCTTTGAGATCGTTAGGAGCATGCACGCCAACATCTAGTCTTCAATTTGTTGGTCAGCTTGAACAAGATGCGTGGTTAACCTGTTGGTATACATTTCATTTGCCTGTCACACTATGGCGCTCAGAACTTTGTACTCGGACCTTACTGAAGGAGGAAGAACATTGTTGCAAGAAGTGGATATGTTATATAGTGTACAACATGCAATAACCTGAATATATTTAAGCTTATTCTCAATTTATACAGAAATATCTAGTCAGGGAATACTTTCCTGGCTGATTCGCCTCTTTCTTCTATATAGATTATATATTAGGTAACAAAGAAAAGACAGCGTTTTTAATTTTGAATAATATTTCCAAGTTCCAGTACTCATAAAATAAGCGACATTTATAGTAATTATTATACTAAGTTTATTAAGAATAGAAAAAATGAGTTAGTAAACCCATTTTTCGCTAAACTTTTTACTCGCATTGATGTACACGAATGTGCGACTAACCAAAGAAACAAGCTAACACAATTATACAAATAGTTTCCAAAAAGCTACCTGACTATTCCTGGAAAGCATGTGTGATTCTATTACACGGTTAACAAGTTATTGGAGCAGCTTCTAAACTTTGCTACCCGCATATTTGATTTACCCAGTTCGGTTTGGAACGCAGTTTCTTTTTTCTCTAGACTATGAAGTGCATCAATTACGTTTTGTCTGGGTTCGATCGCATTAGGTACTGACCCGTTAAAAACATAGGACCTAAAAGTGTCAATCAGTAATCACACACATCACTATTTGTCCTTTAAGAAACGCATACCTGAGGCAATAAGGATTCTGTGTGTGAAACAAGAAAAATAGACCGTATCCGACAGCGCTTGACGGGGCTAGTTTGAGCGCTCTAGACCTAGAAGTTCCCGTGATAGGTTAGTGAGTGACATATTTGCTTGACACATTGTGGCGTAGGCTCAAACTCAGCAACGGACGGACTTCGTTTCGTGGTGAAAGCCAGCCGTCGAATGGAGTGCATAACCGCGATACCGAACGTAAAATTCGAAACATAAAAAGCTGGAAATCTTGATTTGAACGGGCGCCCAACATATTGGTGATGGCGAGCCACGGACCTTATTGTTCGAAAATTAGCTCAGAAGCATTTTTGCAGAGCAAACCGTCAGTTTATGATCCTGAAAATAAAAGGCGTTAACCTCATATGGACTCGGTGAAAATGATATCTATACACATGTATATTATTGTTTGTATGGCACGGAAATAATTTCTGCATGGAATTAAGACGAACAAAAGATGTTCAATAACGTGTTTAGCGCAAAAAAGTTGTGGATCGACATAAAATACCAGATAGCCCACCAACTGAACAAGTTTCGTGAGATCTGAAAAGGGTATAGGTTTTTTGAAAAACGGGTATTTCTTTAATTAGAAAAATGAACGCAGAGCTAGACTTGGTTTAAATCATTGGATTGGGTCAAGAAATTAATGAAAAAACGCCTTCGGTAGAAAAAAAAATTACGTAATTTTATGACAAGGGTAGATATAGTTTGTCTTTGGTGACCCGTGATTCTACGTGAGACTACGAACGGGAAGTTCTTTTCCGGTTTGCTAATAGTCTAGGACTTGCCCCATCATATTGCACCTATTATCCATAAAATACCACGAAGGCACACGGTTCCACACTAGTGGCAAAGCTCCGAAAATTTATCTATCAGTTAGTCGTCTCTATGGGTGCATTTCTCGTTCATCCAGGAGTTTATTCGTTGGCTGACCGGTGGAGAAGAGCCATGGAAAGTTGAAGAGTAGATTTTGATAGGAGACGCCCCTCTTTGAAACATTAGTAGCAGTATAGGTAAAATGAAAAAAAACCGAAGCCAAATTAAAGATGCTAGGGATAATATTTCAACAGGAACAGCTGTTCTAGAAACAGATTGCTCGACGGTACATTTGGCAATACCCTCCGCACAATCGTTAATTGTTTCTCCATTTTCAGTAGCCGGATTGAAGACAACAATGTAAAACGGGGAGAAAATAGACTGAACCGCGTTCAAAACATATGCATAGCAACAACGAAGTTCGCAATCTAGCACTCAGCTGCAAACACGGCGCGTAGCGTAGACACGCAGTACTTGCGGCCTAATCATTGCTATGCTATAAATACTTATACGGAGCTGAGTGGCAATGCCGGACTCTTTATTATACTATATCACGCATCAATATCTCATAGCTTACAACAGATGAGATTTAAACGTGTGGCGCTTTAAGAGGAATGGCGTTAGATCAGTCTCCGAGTCGCTTTGATATAAACGAATTAAGCGAAACAGCTCACTGAGAAGTTTCAGGTCGAAATATATTTGTGTTTGAATTTGATGATTTATAGATTGGCGGCTGCGTTATCTGAGTGGTTCGTCGGGTGCAATGAAAAAAAATTAGAGACCGAATGCACCTTTGAAAGCACCTATTGCCTTATATTTCCTCTTTGACAACATGATCTTAGGCGGAATTCTAAAGCAACTGTCAAAACGAAGTGCACCCATTCATGATCCTGGTTCTTGTCTTCTTTCAGAGAGGAAAACAAGACATCTGCGAGAGGCAGATCCTCTATAGAAACATTACCGATCAAATGGTGAATTCATGCAATAGATGTTACTCTGTTGACCGGCTCAGTTCAAAGCAGGGAGATCGCTTAGTTCGTAAGGTGTTAATAAGGACAGTATTCTTTACATTTTGGAACGTACAACAGAGCACAATAAAGCCTATCAGGCGCTATACAAACAAAATGCGTACTATTTACTGGTCTCTAGATGCAGCCATGACTCTTTTCCTATTATTCGTCCTCTTGACGACATCGAGAGGTTTCCATTATTGCAACGTAATATTTCTGTAGTGGTGATACGGCCAAATGAGCCATTAAGACGTAATTGATACATTCGACGTAAGAGAGGTCCGTTGAAAGCCTCAATTTTATTCATACCTGCAGTCGGATCACGGGTTAAAGTTACGTTCCTTCAATATTTATGCATTAGCGCGCATCTAGTCAGTAAGATAAAAATGATTTTTAAATCTCATTTATTTCCTTGACTATTCCTTAATAGCCGTCCGTTTCCTTGCAGCATCACTACCACTGTTATAGTCGCCTTCCTTCCTTCCATAGCTCTATCCTTTAACTAAATACGTACGTATCTATGTATTTCTGTCAAAGCCACCCATTAAAATATCAACCATGCGGGTCATTTTTATTACTGAGCTTTAGGGGCGACAAATATCGAGAAGTACTCCCTTCCCCGGTTTCGTTTCCGCTTTTCGCAGTAGCTCCATATAGCTATAAGGCTGAAAGACAAGGCTGGTTTTTAATGTGACCACGTGGTTATGAACAAGTGACACGTCTCACAGCCCTGTCGCCAGCCAAGGTTTGCATAGACAGTCACTTAATATGAGCAGGAAGAGCTATATAAACACGCATCCTCGATACTCCCTCTTTTTCTCCAATAGGCCCGCAGGTACTGCTTCGGAGGACTTGTTAGTAAAGCGGGTCCCATGCGGATGGTCAGCCTTTAGCCGACCGCTGTCCTAGGTTACTTGTGTCGAACTTTGTTGTCCTTGAACGTGATCCGATGAGTGAGAAAATGAATGCTAGCATAAATATCTATATGATTTCGTCAACTCTCCAAAAGTGTATTTCTTTTGTATTTATATCGCGTTGTGATCTGATGCATAATGTTGATTAAAAAGTAAAGATCTACAAACGTACAATGGAGCCACAACTTGGTAATTCCATCACAGCTGTAATCTCTATGCTAACCATAATAATATAATAGACAATTATACAGTAAGCTCTTTGAGAGGTGTCCAAGAGTTCATCAGGGGATCGTGACATGGATAAATTTGCTTCCGAATTGCATTGAAGACCTGTGTATTGACTATTGCAGTCACGGCCATTTTATGACAAATTTTTATTATCTGTCATCTTCCCAAATCCTATAGGTTTTCTAAGCAGTCTAAGACTAACAAGTGCTAATAAATTATGGGCAGAAGATTTTATTTTTGGCCCTTTTTGTTTATAAAATTGTTTTTGACATGCATCCTGCGCCAAAAATCTATTTATTTGGACCGTTGTAGTCTTACACCTATGCACGACCCATGTGGTCTGACTACGTGTGCTCTTTTAACAAAAATCGTTGTAATGCACGCCGCATATTCGCCTCCATGTATAAACATAGTTTTAAGTTAGACATTGAAGTAAGATTTAGTTTTATTTAGTATAAATACACAGTATCGTCACTGACGCTATTGCAAGCTTACATTGTTAGGCTTTTGGGAACAACTAATTCCCTCTACGAAAACATAGGTTTAGAAGATTATGGCTGTTGTATTATGTACTCCGCAATTTATACCGATTGTGCTGAGCGGGATTTTCGCATCACAACGACTAAACTTGCATTATATCTAAAAGGTGACTTCAGCAAACTTCACCTCATATAGAATAACCTCAAACGAGCAGGCGGGCGATATGCAGTGTAATAGCGAAGATAGTTTAATTCATAGTTACTAAATAGGTCAAACGTAATCTTTACGTCGAAATGAACATCTTTTAGACAAGCTCTATGCAGGGGAGATGTTTGTCTTCTGAAGACAACAAAGGCTGGAATATGAAAGAGGTATTCCTAATTAGAACGATGCTCGCTGCTGATCAGTGCGTGTGTGTTATTTACTGGATAATTAGCTGTTTTTATCTTTATTGAAATGGGGCTTCTTCTGACCGCACGGACAGCGAATGCATTAACACTCAACCCCGCTTGAAAATCGCACGCTGCTAGGCTCAAAGAAAAAAATAGGCCAAATCACACATTGCGAGTTTTCAGAGTAAAACGACTAGGAACATGGCAGAATGATGCGTGCTGCCATCTAGAACAATTGCGAAATCTCTGTTTTCGGGGCGGTAGTAAACATAATGAAATACGAAAAAAAAACCACTGAGCTGGTTCGATACGTATAGCGGCGCCCATTAAAGCGATGTTGTTCCTGTATACTGCTTAGTTTACGGTTCAATACACAGCTGTAAGGCAACGACGCGTGTCGTTATTCAGCCCATTTTGTAAACCCGTTCGTTGCTAGCTCGTTAGGACTTTTTGTCCTTCTTCATATAAGTAAAATGTATGAATACAACAAGCAAGCTTTCCATTATGTTTCAGGTTTGGGGTTGCGTTCAGGTATCCGTTAGGAGAGTTCCGTGAAATCAAAGATTCCCAATTTTTGTTTGCCGGTTTATCTGTTGTTAAGCTTCTCTGACCGGATGCTGATGAGCAACACAAGAAACGAGGTGCCTTGAGTGAAATGACTTGGCCGGTCTTAATCGTAGGCCCACGGCACCCAGTCATTAGATCCGTGGAGGCTGTAGAGATTCAGTTAGCGGTTTAGATGACGGCGTGTCATGGCAGAAAGCGGTAGCGAACTCCTAAATTTAACCTCTTCTGAAAGCGGAAACAGGGCTTTCTAAAAATCATCGACTCAAATACCACGCTTTATATTTACTACCGATAAAAATGAATCTCGCTATTGTTATGTCACCATCATTGATAACGCATCTGCATTAATACAACACTGGCAACTTTTTGTTGCATTTTATGAGAAGCAATTACCTTAAGCAATTTTCGAGTGTCTAACTTGTAAACAACTTCATTATGCAGCTCACTGTGTCGCATCATCGCAAAAGCTTCCTCTTCCCTATTCCTTCTAATGCCTAACGCTTGACCTATTCTCGAACATGTTTCTGATAAGAGACAAGTTCCCAAAGTCAACACTGAATAAGTAGCAAAACAAAGCTCAAAATTAGACAAGCCAATGGCAGACATATAGCTATGTGGCATCTGTGTGTAATGGCTGGGATGAATAGGCGTTGTTTCATGCAAATAAGGACACAGCCAATATTATGTATGCGTTGAGCTATCTAAACTAGTTGACGAGCCTCGTGGTATGGTACGACAATCAAACTAATCACGATAAATGAGCCTTTTCAAATCCGATAACTTAACTTTAACCATTTAGTTAGCAATGCAGATATATAACTTACTACTTGTTTCTAGAGTTTCGGACTTGCAACAGTCAAATGGAGAGTAAATGAGCTATATACGATTGATAGCGATCATTCGTCACTGAAATAACCTTAATTTTAATTGGGCAGTTTTGAGGTAAGACATTTAGCGAGTCGCATTTACGTTTCGTGTACTTAGGTTCATTTCGGGTATAGGCTGGATACCTTATAACTGTGATAATTACGGTTAGAGTTACCTGATCACCTTAGTAATTATGCAGAAAAGCTGACTGCACAATCAATCAGCTGAGGCCCCGTCGATCCGTGGAAGGAACATTTGTGCAGGTTTGAGACTTAGGTCAATAACAGCCTACGCGACTATTTCCTTGCAGAGCTCCATCAACAAGTCGCGATAGAGATGTTGAACATTTCCAATGATTTATGTAATGTACGTTTAACATATAATGAGTTTCCTCCTACTAGAACCGCATGTCGACAATGTGAAGAATGTCTTCAAGGACTATATATCTCTAGTTTGTCTCAGGTACATATTTAGTTCCTCTGAACACTCGAAGGCCCAGCAGTTTGTGAAGGTGTCACCAAAGGCAGGCTGTCGGTAATTTCATTGTTATTACTATGCAGAACGAGACGATTTGTCTAAAAATAATTTATTTACAAGCGTCGTCTATTTACATAGTATATTGTTGTTAATACGATGCCCGCCGTCTTAACAATAAACACAACAACAACGAGCAACTAGCTAATGGTATATTATGCACGTTAACGAATTGATTGCTACATCATAGAAAGCTACCTTGTTTACCGCTTGTAAACATTGATTGAAGAAACACTATATAATTTTGCGGACAATTAATACCGCCATTACTTCATTCGATACATATTGACTACTGAATGAATTCACGCAATTGAGAGCGTAAATCAATAGAGAACTATTGATTTATACCTGTAGTGACGACTCCAACGGGAGCGAAAGGCGAATAATATATGACAGAAACAGTAAAATTGACGCAGAACGTCTCGACTCTAATTATCGGTGCCAGGAACGAGCAACCTTATTAACTAAACCTAGTTGGTTTCGTCTTTTGGTTTGCGTTTAGGTTAGGTAGGTGAAATATAGTGATGTTTAGGCCAGTTGACGAGGCCGCCGCGTCGATCTCTAATACTGGATAGTATTTGTTTGGTTCGATAAGTTTGTATACGAGTTAATATATCGATTTTTACTGCGCTACATAGTCCTGTTGATCAGTTTCGACGGCGCACAATCACATTCTCATATGATGCCTAAATAATGTCGAGAAACGTACATGGCCGCAAACAGGCTCACCTGTGATATGCGAACGTCGTCGTTTTTCTTCGTTTCGCATAGGTGGCTTTCGATGATATTGGAATACAAACCGGTAAATGATACCTGGCTACGGCAAAAGAATACCTGAACAGTTGGATGTGGTTGTACATACCACAAGTACAGCATCATAATTAAAAAAAAACGTTAGAGACTGGCTTATGTCACTATTTCTAGACGTAAAACTTTGTGGCTTGAGCATTGCGATATTACGGATATGACGTTTGCAAACGTTACTGTTGTGATGAACGCCGAAGGGCCCAGGTATTTTTTTTTGTTAACACTGCCGCATTGCATATTTCTGTTACCCGCAGGAAGTACTCGAGAACTAGTTTTAAATTGAACTTACCGCACTTGGTGCGAAGCCAGTAAATCTATAATCCTATACAGTGTCTAAAATCTCCGAACACTACAGGCGTATCAAGCGTCAAATACGTCATTTCAATAATCGTTAAAAACGTCACTCTTAGCTGGATTATATGCAAACAACTTACGCGCCCTACCGATAAAAGATAAGGCCGATCACTTATATATATGGGCTATATGTGCATGGATGTGGGAAGTAGTTGACTCAACTGGAGTAAGTTATTCGTCAGGGTCTACTAACTTCACCCTTCGACGAGGCGTTATTCGAAGCGGACTTTAAAGTTCACAACACCTGCGCAACGCAGCCGTTCAACATAATGCCTGCTTAGTCTAGCATCGGGCCTTTCATCATCAGACATTTTCTATAGGCAAGTTACCCATATATGTAGTTGTGCATAACCAGTCGAAGCCTATGTCCCATACCGTTGATGAAATAAAAATACTCTATTATAAGGAGGAGACTTCATCTGGTCTGTCCTTAGAGGTTGTTCACGAACAAACGCTGAGAGCGCTTACGGCAAAGAGCCGCTCTCAAATTGCCTTTTCTGGCCCCGCTCTCTACAGGCTTGGTCCTCGCTAGCGATAACGATGTTGACAGAGGCATGCACTCTTCGGCCTGACCTGACCCAATGGCCGGTATTAGCGCTGTCATCATCACAAGATCCTATCGCGGCGACGCAGAAACATGTCGTCATTCTCTTACATACTAACTATTGCCGCTAGTCCTGACCAGAACTGGCCTAGCAGCTAACACGCCAGCAGTAAAAGCGCCGCACAAAATAATAATCCACTTACTGACGCGAACTAACGCCGAACCCATCGCTCCTCTTGAATAATGGTGGTGTTGATAAAAATAATAATGCCAATCATTTGCACATATATTAGTTATATTTCTGCGGTGCGTGCCGAAAACACAACAAATTGTTCAAAGTACACGTCCATACGAAGGGTATACCTGCGTCTATGTGCAAGCTCTGAACACTGCACTAAGCTCGAGCGGAACGCTTTCTAAACTATAGTTTTCTATTATATCTGAAGAAAATAATGAAGCTGCAAAACGACAACAATAACATTGCAAAAATGACAATTGACAAAAGACAGATTCGTGATAGCTTCAACAGCAGCGCAAACAGACCGGGTAGTATGGTGCAATAGGGGATGATGTATTAATTTCCGGTGTCAACCAGTACTTGTGCTAAACGGGTCGTTCAGACAAATGACAATGATTTTACCTGAGCGGTTACGGATTGGAGCGACAGTCCTCTCGTACTACTCCTGTCTGTAGCGTAAATTAGATTTAAATAACAGCAACTTTTAGCTAATAACTAGTTATACAAAATGTCTTCCTTCGACGATCATAGCTAAAGTTTACTTTGCGTGTTCCTTGAATGAATGCACGAGTGTACCTGCGAATGTACGGTAAGTGCTATCCTGGTAGATGCCTGTTATATAAATCGGTCGATAATAACGATCTGAACCATGGACTTGTTTAGCGAACCAATTCGGTAGGAAGGCATACACAGACTGTCTATCTTGATACGTCTAAGATATACACATAAATACACAGTGCGTAGTCGTTATCACAAGCAAATTATCCTACTTTAGACCTGCTGGGAACATGCTACGACACAACACCTTCTACTAGATGCCTACTATTCTGTCTGGTGAGATTTATCGTGTTTCACGGATTACGCCTAATGATAATAGTTAACGTATACTAATATCGTTTCCTCGTTTTCACGCATCTCTCTTGACTCACGCATGTCCACATTCTCTACAGCCGGCTTTAGCGAACGGGTTCGCTTCATAGCGGAGCTTCGACTCTTCTTCTTCTTCTTCTTCTTCCCAATTTCCCTGCCTACACCAGCTTCGCTTTGTGTATTCCAGAGAAGAAAATAGAAGTTATCGAAACATCCGTTGAGTCGACGCGTTGCACCAAGACTTCAGCGAATTATGCCCAACAAGCGAAGAAGCTAGATTGTGCCTTGCTCACTACACACTCATTAATAAGAATTATGCTGGGCGAGACAGCGACCGTTGGTTGCCACTTTTGCTTGTCTCATTGTCTGGTGTACTAGTCACTGAAGCCCCGCGGGAGGGAAAGGCAAGAACTTGGTATCTGTAGCAGCACGGCTGTCCTAGGAAAACGAAAGGAAAGCAACGATACAGGGAAATGGGGTGTCGCGACGGCAGCAACGATGACAGCAATAGAGATTCCCTCAGGTAGACGGCACTGGCAGTCCTTGGGGAGAAAGGGTGGATAAACACTTTACGATGATACTATAGCATACGACATACAAAGACATCCTTAGGTAGCAGACTCATGGGGGATGAAGCTTTCTTCGCTTTTGCCCCAGTGGAAAGAGAGAATGCTAGCGCTTTTCAGTAGAAGAAGCCAAGCAAAACCTGTCGTTGCCATTTTTGCTCTCCCATTTACGCTCTAAACCCTCACCAAATGTGTAAAAAGGCCGCACTCATTTCTTCTTAGTACCTTCCTTCCTTAAACGGCTATAAACTCCCAACTATTATTTGTTGTAGCGCCTATATAATCGCACTATGTCACCGGTCTGCTGGTCTAGCAAACATTGGTTCCTTCTGCCTATATCCATGTATGTATAAATGTTTGCAGTTACAAACGTACATTGGACCCGACGCCCAGTTTTAGAGAGCAGTTGCCATCAACCAGGCTAACACACCGATCGTGTTAACAAACGGGGGAAACCATCCTAAATGTTCTTGAGGAAACATGGAAAAACCAAAGGAAACACTAGAATTTGCATCAACAGACGGGTATAAGCGGACAGAGGAGCGAACGAGCTTGTGCCATCCGACCTCTTTCCTTTGCTCAAACACCAAATCCATTTACCGCTACCCAACAATGCCGTTTGTTGACAGTGAAGACAGAGAGAACTACGCAAGAAATAACGGCATCGGCAGCAACCGTTAGGACACTCCTTACCGTTTGTGCCCATTGTTGATTCTAACCAGATCATCGTCTAATTAGCTGCTTCGCACTCAAACCTCGCGAGCTATGCGTCCGGTAGTCCGAGAGGAGACCACCAGCAGATTCTTATTCTATAGCCACGGCTTTCAATAACAAAGTGAGTGCCTGCTGACACAAAATACGATACGACAGAGAGAAAATAGTAGCATTTGTGGATTCGAACCAGAAAAGTTCTCGGCGGTGAAGTGAGCGGTCTTTTCTCGATAGCAGTACCAATCGAGACTAAAAAGCTGCGTGCTCCATTGGGAAGTCATAGTTAATATTAGCTTGTCTCTCGCGCGCCGGCAGCGGCTGTACAGGTGGCGTGAGTAACTACTGCCGTCGACAGCCTGAACCGCTGCCTATACTCTTGCTGCTGCTATTGCCTTCTGGTCCAGCCGGCCATTATCTGAAGCAGTGCAGCTTAAAGCTCTGTGTCTTGAATGTATTGTCTAGCAACGCTGTCAGCTGCGTTGTTGTCACAGCCGCTACGAGGGTCTTCTGCTGACGAGAGGGACAGTGAGCGGGAGATGGCGGCTCGTGCTAGCTTGCAGCGCCGCACTGCACGGTAATAAATGTTAAGCCGGAAATTAACAGCAACACATACAAAAAGTTATCCTTTATTACTTAACAGGGGATTAATGGAAAGTTTAACTTCTACAACCGTCTTATTTGCCCTCACCCGTGTATGTGCGCGCGGGTGTCTACGTTAGCATCGTTGTTATTGGCGCTGTTATTAGTAAGTGTTGCTTACTGTTGAAGCTAATATACTTGCAACTGATGTTGCTGCTGTTGTTGTCGCTTTTGGCGATGGCCGGAGGTTGGTGATAGTATTGAAGCCACTATTTTTACACCTCAGAGGCGAGTGACAGCCTTCATCAAAAGAGAGCGCTGTGCCAATGAGTCATCAAGTGATTGAGATAAAGGTGACAAACAAAATACGACCGTAAGGCAAATCCACCAGAAAAATGGTATAGAAGATAAGCTCCAGAGAAAGAATAAGCGAGAGATAGAGACGGGGAGGAACGAAGAGAGAGAGAGGGAGTTTAGACGAAGTAAAAATGAAAAATGATCATACTCCTCGTTCCCATTAGCGTGCCATCTGCACTCTATGCAGGATTCTGATTTCCAGACAATACATTGATGACATCAGAGTGACTCAATATTAGACAAAAAGGGAGAAAAGTAGGGTCAAAATAATCCTTTCCCAATCAGGACCAACTACGGCTCAATTATAGTACGCAGAAATAGACCAATGTTTCATGAACAATTGCAGCCTAGATACGTGCACAAGCAACTGTGGCTCAGGATATAGGAAAAAACGTTTCATTCTTTCAATTCGATCGATATTCATTGCTCTATGGCTGTCGTTGTACTGTCGTAAAATTATACGTAGCTCCGGATCTGTCTTTCCATTCGCCGAAAATAACGATGTCGGTTCCTGCAGAAATGATGTTCTCGGATTAAGTTCTACGGCACGCTCACAAGCACAGGCCTACATACTGCGCTGAGATTACTAACACGGCAGTCATGCGGGAGAACATTTTTTATGGCAATATGTTATATATATATATTTATACAACACATAGTCTTTAAGTGTAACCTCATCCTAGAAATACCGTCCCATATCGTATTTTGCTTGTCTGATTTCTGACTTCATATTCTGTCGTCATATTTAAACTTTCGGAAATGTTTTTAAAAAGCGTGAATAAGGGAACTGTCTCCATAAACATTCGTCTGATATATACTACCTCTCATCAACAACTGGTTATTTTTATGGCATACCACTGTTCGACGCCCACGGCGGTACATTTAAAAAAACTTCATGTTGCTTCATTGCAACCGATTGCGCCGTACAGAGGGAGGTCAAAACTGGCAGTTTTCGGGCGATCGTGCCACGTTTACATAACTATCAGAAGTCAGTGGATTTAAGGTACAAACCACTGAACCGTCCATAATCACACGAAACAAACTAAGGACGGAACTTCTTAACCTAACTAAGTTATTCCTTAAATTGATCACTGCTCGAAACTAGGCACACCCTTGAATGAACGTTAGCTGTGCCAGGCTATGGGATTGTCGTCTGCGACTAACGGCAACAATGATTAACCAACCGTATGCTGTTCATTACTTTTACAGATTTATGTTAAGTAATATTTAGTCTCCAAATGTTCGGACGTTAGTTTAACGGTGCAAATTTCTAATTTTAGATTTCTAAGCTCTAAAAGTTCGAGGCTTTTAAAGCTTTAGGTTCGATGGTTGATGAACTCCACTTCTCCACGAAAACAATTTTTCTTCGATAACGCGGGCTTAGATTCCACAAGGACGTTACAGATCGCGCCAGCACTCATATAGATCTGCTAATAACGACACTATATATACAAGAGTTGTTAGATTGCGCCGATGGCGGATAACCCTACGAAAAATTGTCAATCTTCATTGATTTACTTGAGTTCGTATCCTTCAATACGGTTGAGCCTTGAGCTATATCAAAACCTGTGTAGCACTAACCTTGGGACTCTGTATGCTGAACATGTAGCTTTTTACTTTATGGCCGACATTCAATTTGATAGGGTCTGGTCGCTGTGAGCACTGTCTGAAGCGTTATAGTTCGAACTGGCAAGCTTACAAGAGCCGAACTATGTAAAAACTACATACCGTTCCGAAATTTTCACATGAACCAACATTTTTTCCGTGCATCACGATAAAAACCAATGGAACCCCTATTTTTTTTTTGCATGGAAAGTGGCCTGGAACAAGGAAGGATTCATTCACATACCTAAAGTACCATCGTAAATCCACATCTGTGTTTTGATTATATATATCAAATATATTAACTGTTCCCATATTTCAATACACAGTTTCTTTGCAGGGGAACATTGTGCCCCCCACTAAATTCACTAATTACTTTAATTAGGCTGCTTAGTTCCGAAACTATCGAGATGACATGATCGTTTACGCCGTATACGTTGCGATGTCTAGTGGAGAGGGTTAACATAATCTTCAAATTGACTTGATTGTTCTAAGATAAACTCTAAATGATTCCCTAATAGCACACAATGGTTTCTTAATGACGGTCTCCAAATGGCCTTTTAGTGAAGCCAAGAAGTGCTAGGTCAAAAAACCTACAGCACACGATAGTAAAACTCGCGTTGCTCGCTTAACCTGTGGCTGTCTGCTATACAAACTCGAGTCGGTGCACTGAGATATGCCTAACTCCCCAGCGCTTTATAGCCTGTAAGCATAAAGTAATGAGTTACTACTACACAAGCTGCCATTGAATAAATAGGAAAAAATTAGTGAACAATTGAGCAAAGTAATGAATCTCTAGAGCTATGTGTTGGCCGAATCCGTGACATTGCTTATTTATTTGGCAGAAATAGAAATAAAGGTAACAAAAATATACGTTTATATTCGAATCGTAATTGAGCCAAAGTACCCTGTTCTCACTAGATGATTCGAAGTATTAGGAGAACTAGGCACAGGGAAAAAAAATCAGATGCAAAGCATGCTTTGCCTAGCATGTATGAGTGAGAGGAGCCTGTTTCTAATAAAGGATCGTTACAATGGTCGTTACGTAATAATCTGTGTGTGCTCAATTCTTCTTGTTAGACTTTTGGAAAAGCGTTTGCCCGTTTCCGTGCCGTCCCTTCCCAGTGTCTGTTCGCCTCTGTACACCGTTCTAAAGCGGGTTTTTTTCTCATACGCCTGTCTCAACTAAGTTGTGTAATAAACTAAATTTCATCTCGAGCTTAAACTCCACAAACGAGTGTGCCTGGTTAAAAGACAAAAAGTGCACTTCCGATATCTACGACATTTCGGTTTTTGCAAACATCAAAAAGCTACTGAAAGAAATCGAGATATTTCTGGATGATTACATTTTCTGGTAGTAATGGCATCTCTAAACAGGCGGATGAATCATGTTCCGATCAGCAACTTCGTGCCGGTAGAAACAATCTTAAGGCGCCTTTGTAGGAAAACATTAACTCATGAACTGACCAAAAAGATGCGTCGCCGTCACGTAACAACCTTAAAGCTTTACTGAAAATTTAGAAACCTAGGCGCTCTACAAATTGAGTAAAGCACTGAAGATACTGAGACGTCTTACGCTCTGCCATTGTCTGTGAGCACCTCACCCTGGCATCGAGCCTTATAAGACTACAGTCATAGGATTCCAGGATTTGTTCGGGTGAGGAGAAATGGTGGCAGACTTACCTTAGCCCAAGCTTGACTAAAATCTCCATAGGAAAGCGACCATGGTTCGCGTTTAGAGGGACTCGTGCAGTGCGGGGGCTTGAGAAAGGCACAATTTTAACAAGTTTATGTGATCGCGTCGTGTCGAGTCAATAATGGACAAGGCAAGACAGTGATTTCTACGAAAAGTCAGGCCACACATAGTAAATAGGTCGCTAGTTCCAGTGGGAAGGTCCTCCACATTTATATTCACCAGAGATCGCGCCAACGGATTACATGTTTGTCGGATCACTCGCAAATGAAAGTCCTACTAAGGCACTAGACAACGAAGGTCTTAAAAACCGGCTGAATAAATATCTTATTGGACAGATACGAAAAGTAAAATATATTTTTATATATCAATTTTTTTATTAATTCGAATTAGAACTCGTTAGGTAAAAAGGACTCTTAATTTCTGAGTAACTTAATCGTTATATATAACAAAGCTCTGCAAATAGAGCCATTATATTGGTAAAAGGCTAACAAGATGTGCCATGTATGAACCGTATACAAAATTCAGTAATCATAAGATATCGAATTGAGTTTGCAGATGTAACGTCCAGTGGACCAAGCTCTATCCAAAACACGTGAAATGATGGACACACACGTTAGCGAAAACTGCCGAAAATTACATGCACTCTTGTCCATATTACTTAGCCCTTGACGTTAGCTTTTCATTACGACCTTAAGGGAAGTATGGGCATAGGCTTTGTAACCGAATCTGGAGTGTAGCCTGTTTAATGGGCACGATCTGATTTTTTCTTTGCTCATAATCTATTATATAGACAGTATACAACGGCGAAAACTGAATATATCCTATCCTCAACAAACTCAAACATGTCGGAGGCGCAGTGATACAGTGATTTATAGTGAGGAACGAATACAGCAATATCGGGTAATTCGTATTGAATTTTTATTTGAAAATACTTAGGCTTGACTTAGTTTATATGCTAAAAACTATGGCCATGCCTGATTTAAAATGCTGGTTGCTGCTCCCCAATACGATGCGTACTGTGTATGACTCGCCAAAATTACAAGGATAATACACTCATTCGTTTGCACCGACATCAGGTAGATACATCTGATTACCCGCCCCATTACTTCAATCAGGTGTAGCATGGCTTAACGTTAATGCAGATACATGCGTGCTAAGACATAGAATGGTTAAACGGTAAACGTTTTGTTAATGATAATAACTGAAATGCCACAAACAGTTTAAACATGTCGCAATCAATTATAATTTGTCAGTGACTTGATGCAAAACTTATTTGCATCGCTACTGTTTACCAGTAGGGCTCTAGGCTAACCCCTATTGTAGGTGCCGGACCTAAAGGCATGGCCGTACCCCTCTTATGCACATGATTTCAAGCCGCTTTTAACATTGGTCATCCATCGTCAATCTAAGATAATCTTGTTTGGAATCGAAAGAAAAATCCTTTTGTTTGATCAAAGCGCATACGTCTTCGTCTGCAAAAGCAAGCCTTGCTAATTGATAGTCCCCACGAAGAACTTTACAATTCCCCTGGATGCGGAAAGAGTAAGCAGTTATTTGGTCAGACGCTTTTAAGCATCTCCCGACTAAAAGTTTTTCAAGTTGCTCCCTAGTGAGTACACTAAATTGTTGAAGAAAGCCCCCTTGCTTCCTCCTCTCAGCACAGCTTGCCCCTTACATAGCCTTGCCCGTGGCCCACAGCAAAGGTCGGCACGAATATTCGGCACAATGATGGTCGTGCCACCGAAAGATTTTCCTTGTTGTGGGTACAGTCGCGTTGTTTCATAATTTCATATCATTCCGCGACCACTATTGCCGACGTCCCGCTCCGCAAGCTAAGTATAAAAAGCTAAGTACGAGGTAGACGCAGTAGCAAAACGAGGTTCAAGTCTAGAGCAATCTAACTGAGTAATGTCGCTTCAGGCTAGGAACTGTTCGCTGCTATCCACTTTGCTCGCACATTTTACTTCCTTTTTCTCTTGGAGCGCTCCGAGTACGTACCTCTTGCCTCTGTATAAGTATACCTGCCCATGTTTTTTTCTCTCTGTCTCTTTTCCCGAAGAATGTAAAGGGGCCTTGATGGCCAGACGGAGAGCGCGCTACCCTACATTCACTGCATCTAAAGAAACATCCAATACTGGAAACTATAGAGGAAGCACAGAGTTCGTCATGGACTTTATTGCAAAGTTCTTGTGTTTTTGGTACACTTCCGTTCATCCCCTTTCCACTCATCCATCCTTACCTAGCTCTTCCTTCAAGGAACTTTCGAGCCTGAATTCTCCTCGTTCTGACACCTTTAAATACATGCCTTTTTTGTGCTTTTTTTTTTCTATGTCTTCCTTTCTGTCATTTTCGTTCCGCCTTTCCCTAACAATTGTGTCCCGTCTAGCGTGGCCTGCGCCGTAATTTCACTTTTTACATTTCTATGCCTTGCCTCCCTTGCATTTCCTTTCTGTGCTCTGCTTTTGTCCTGTTTCTCTCACTTTAGTTGGACATTCCCTCTATTCGGTTAAGGCGTACCATTTTCCCTAGAATTAACAGAAATAGCTTTCCTTGATTTACAAAGTTCAGGGTTTCTCGGACGGGTACCACGTCATGGGTAAAAAGCCTACGTAATCTTCTCTTTCGCTTTTCGTCTGGTTGGCTCTTTTCTATCGACCTCCACCTTTCTGTTTTTCTCTGCTCATTTCTCCCGTTCTTTATGTGTCCTTCGTTGTCTCTCCTTTTTGTCTCACCCGGTTCATTCACTTTGGCTGGTCAGTGTCTTTTATTGTCGTTTCCTTCATTCCGCTCGATTAGAACAGCTAACCACCTTCCCTTCATTCTGCTTCAGATCTTTATCATTTTTATCCTTTTTCTAGCCTAGTATCCTCGTTATGTTCTTTCACTGTCACTTATTCTACGCACGCCAACTTCTCCTGTTTAATTTCTCCTTTCTGACCCAGCCATATCTCCTGGTCCCTCTCTCCGTCATTCGTTAATATTTCTATCACCTTGTTCTCATCTGTTTTTCTCTAGCTCTTCCTTTATCTGCTCCCTGTATCTTCCATTTTTCCCTTGATCTTCGCTGGTGGCCCCCTCTCCTACGCTCTTTTTTTTGCCTTTCTTCCGTTACTGTTAGAAGTGAGGTGGTATCTCACAAAAATGAAAACCGCTATAATTGACATCTCAGGATTAACGTAACTATCCGCGTGCTGCTACTACTAGTGCTGATACCATCAGAAGAGCTGGTTTTGCAGACGCCAGTTCACAGTCGAACCATTTTCAGCGCCGTAAGCAGGCTTGGTTTCTACTACTCTTAAGGCGCATCCCTACCCCGTCCAAAAAATTGTTTTTCTTTTTCCTATTTGTCCTTGTGATTGCTTCTCTTCGGCGGCACCCTTTAAACACTTTAATACTAAAGGTTACTTCAACTCGCTATTCTTTCTGAGCACATGTTACTGAAGAATCTCAAACTCTAACAGACGACTACAGTCCGAAAGAAGGAACTTTGAAATGAGGTCTGAGGTAGCTACTTCATCGGTAGGAGAGAAGCATCTATTGTGATTGTAGAATATGGACTGGTTGTTCAGGAATTTAGTAATTTCCCTTTAATATGCTGTGTAAAGAAAGTCTGCTGCGTATTATATATTGTAGAACGGTTGTGTGCAATATCAAAAGGCCGATTATGTATGGTGAATCGACTTTTTTTTATGTCTAGTTAATCTGCTAACCTATATTTAACTACGCAATTCTTAGAGATGCTTAAGTATTACTATTCTCTTGTCAATAATCATAGTCCCTTTTACTCAAAATGCAATTGCATTTACCAAAAACGCGAGCTCCAAAATCAAGTGCTCCATATTTTTGCACAACATAGAGAATCCAAAATATATTGCATAATTCGTGTAATGTACAATAATATAACTCAAAACAATATGCACTATATTTTCGGTATATTGTTGTTACATTTATTCATCAAAGTACTCCCATATGCCTGGCGCATTGATATGTAAATAATGTTGCAAGAGCCATTGTCTGTGATATCATTTTGAAAATGAGCTTCAGGTAGTGTGCACCTGTATTTAGAAGCCTGCACTCTTAACTACTATGGCGTATCAAGCATCGCCAAAGTTAAACAAAACTTAACGACTACACGGCTACAGCAGCTAGACGTTTCACCATGTTAGCCAAAACGCTTTCTTTTTTTAGGTTTATTCTTATCCGAGATCGTGTCCGTGCACTATAACCTCAGCAGACACAGACACAATAAAGTCTGCTGATAAGGTGAAGAGTGGGCCGCTGAGAAGAAAAATACAACAATAGTTGCACCGTTTTTCGTCCTGCAGCCGCGCTTTCCTAAAGGACGTTTGAAAGAGCTTCTTCGCTGTTCAACTTGAACATGATAAGCTGAAGGATTGAGGTGCAAGCGTCTGAATAGCAGCAGCTAAAGGCGCCAATGCCAAGGCTCAAGAATGGAGGACCCTCCACATGACGGCGTCGGTCTAGCCGTGAGACTCCAGGGAGCAGAAAAAGGTCGTTCATCGTCCTCCTCTTCATATGGCGGCGCCGGGGACTCTAAAAGTTACCCTCCCAGAGCTGCCGCTAGTGCAGCCGTCGTCGTCGTCCTTCCAATTCGTATGATCTGGGATCCTTTGAGTCGGCCGATTCCGTCCTATGGCGTCGTTGCGTCTCGCATCGCGAAGGTGCCTCTAAGATAGCTAAGATCTGTGCCATATGCTGATCCAAGCTTGTAGTAGCGAGCCGGTTTGTAGGGAAGCAGGATAGCTCCTGCAGCCTGTACTGCTTGGAGTCCAGTCAGCAGTATACAGTAGCGCTGTTTAGCAATATCATTTACATATTGAGCTCCCGTCAGCAGCAGTTAGAGCAATAGCTGGCCAGTACCAGACAAGCAGATGGCTGCAACGGTGATGGCGCCCGAGGAGCAGGCACGATACGCGAGCTCCTGCATGTAGCGGCAGCTCCCAGCAAACCTTGGTGCCTACTCATCCCCTTTTGTTCCCCTGCCATTTTCTAGAAAACCCGTTCGAATTCTCGAACCAACTAACGAGCGAAGCAAAAAAAGAAGATGAACTTGGCCGAGGCGAGCTATCGCTTAACGGACATCTTTGAAGACTCGCCATCGAAACATCTTTTTCACTTACGTTAAAATTCTAGTACCCCCTGCCAGTATGCCCTGCGTCGAGCTGAACATTTAACTCGCCTTGGCTGTGAGGGCTGAAAGTAGTGCGATATTAATATCCGCGGATCGCTACCAAAAATCGTAAAGTATTTGTTCCCTTTGTTCCATCTACAACCCCCAATTGAAAGTTTAGCCTGATTAGATCTGCCTCTATCAGCATTTACCTTTTTCAAGATGAAAACTGCATTGCACTGCCATTGTATATGTTTTTTTGTCTAAATGGCAGTATTAAAGAGGCGTCACGAAACGGAGTAGCTTACTGTCGATTTAGCCATCAAGCCTCATTGACTGCATAACGATGCAGCATAAGAACATGATTTCATTATTAGATTAATATGATACTGTTTTGCAGGCACCCATCAACGATTCGTCCGTGCCTGTATTCGTAAGCAGATATTGATAACCCAAGAAAGTTCCATCGTACGATTATTGTGACACTGCCCAGAATTAGTTCTCATGGTATTACGCTGTTTGACTGATAAATTCAAGCAATATATGCCGACAGCATAAAATCTACTAGTGTAATAAATGAAATCTGGGTTTGTCGCGAGGTGTTATGTGCCTATTGTACGATTTCGTATGGTTGTAGTACCAATAGTAGTACCGCAGCGGGGTTTACATCGATGAAAATTGCTTTAACCCCGTTATGATCCGGTCTTACAAAAATGGCCAATAAATGCCGTGAGCAGAACAGTTCGGTTGAGAATTATATATTAACGTTACAAAGCGTAACTTCCATTGGAATTTTTTTGCTGCACATCTGGGCTCATAATCGTTCCATATCTGTGTGATACCATTTAAATCAATGGTTTATTTTAACTTTCTAATAAAAGTGGACACAGCTAACATGCCAGATGTGTCTATATTTTGAAGGCTCTTATTTTATAATAACGCCCCTCTCAATGAAGCTTTTGATACATGCACAAACCATAATATTCGTAATGACCCTTTATTTGGCTATCGGAATTGAGAAACAATTTCGTACCCCTATTACTGATTGACGTCATTTACAGTGTGTTCGGTCTTCGTTGCTTTAAAATATGAGAATTTCCGCTTTTTTCTAGTTAATAAAAGTACCGTGGTGCAATGTAAGTCTTCTCATCAATTCGGCTGTCAATACGGCGCTGTGTCTAAGATAGAATTCTGTCCGACAAATCTATGAAGAGAGCACTTAATAACCTTTGTCTATTTCTTTCTAGACGACCTCAGAGACTCCACAAAGTTATAAATTATGTATATAAGCCCTAGAACGGCGGAAACATTTGATCAATCATTCTCGATCATGTTTTAAGGGTCAGTGAAGAACGGCTTTACAAGGTAACGGTTGTAGACGGAAACCGCATAATATCATTATAACATGTATTATAATGGAGTCGTATTAAACTTGTTCAGGGTACAGCAAGCAGAATTTTACCTAATTTTATGATATCCTAAACTAGGATCGAAACCTAACGGAATCACGCAACCATACATAAAACAACAAGAGGCAATTACTTGAAGGGATGGTATGCTTCGCTGAATCTTTTTTCCGACTGCAAAACTATTTCTATATGTAGCCTCTGCGTAAGTATAATATGTAGCATGTTCATGGAACTAGCACGTAGCCTGTCATACTTTGCTCCATCTGCATTCTGCATACAGTTTTACATATAGCAATGGCGTTGGTGGATTTTGCAGTTTGCACTACTTGTCGCTAAACGGGCCGAATCCAATACCCAATAAACGCTGTTGCAAGAGCAATGCCGGCATAATCAGCCAGCCGAAGTCGACTCAATATATTGTGGCATCTTCACTCGTTTCATATTCATTTTACAAAAACGACTTGTCTAGCGGAACTTCATTGACTTGAGGGCTCTGCAAGATGGATCTACAAAAGCTGAAAACTATATCTCTGTTTGTTGCCAGTTAACCAGCCAACCTCTACCTTTGCGGGCCTACTGATCACCTCATTTCGCTCGCGACTAATCACAATGCTTATAATTCACCCAACCTATAACGGGGGTAGGTCACTACAATTCGAGCGACCAGTGGCCTTCGAACAGATGCAGGAGACTGCATTGATCGGTAAATCAATTCGGAACACGTATATATAATATGGGTTAGTACATGGTATGACACAGGACATCTCTCTGTTACCACTCATGCTACTGCTACCGCAGTCTAAGCCAGGAATCGCTTTGCCAACTGTAGTCATTAGTACACCGCCTTTCCTGTCGCCTACTCTGTTGTGTCCATTCTTAAACTCGTTCTATCCCGCTTTTACTTGTTTTTTCCGTGCGCGCGTGTGTATATATTTTGCCTATCGTCCAGCCGATGGTCTTTTAAGGAATTTCATTACGAAGTATTTATTTCCATTTAGTGTCTGGTCTTTCCCTCTCTCATATTCGTTCTGCTTTTGGCCTGTCTTCCTACTGCTGCCGCGCTCGTCACCCCACTCTGCTGGCCTCAACATAACTAGAGACAGATTGACGCGTTAGATTGCTACTGTTGGCGCTGCCGCTTGCCGTGGCTAGTCTTCAAGTCGATTTAGGAGGAGCTCCTACCTAGTGTTGGGCTCCATTCATCCTCATGTATCCCTCCCCCTCCCCTTCCCCCCCCCCCTGCTTACACGCCTAACCGTACGGGAATGCTTTATTGGAGCCGTTTTATCGTCCTCGCTTGTCCAGCTAATCGTCAGTGAGGACCGACTGCTCTGAGCAGTGCACTCTCGATCGGAGAATATCCATGGCACTGTCATCGGCCGAAACAGGCTTCTCGCACCAGCGACTAACCGCACGTTCCTCTTCGTGCCCTCCGTCTCGCCTCCAAGCTACGTCTCTTCCCAGCGGGTCTATCTTATCCACCTCCTTCCTCTATAGTATTGCCGACCATGGTTCTAGGCCTTTCCTCGCCTGTCGGACAGTTTGGGGCACGCATATAGTGGAGACGATCTAGCCTTTCTGCTGGTAGTCCGTAGTGATGGCGCAGTGATACATACACTCAGTAGAGGCAAGAATTCACAGTTCAAGGAGTCTAGAGCCGCCGACAGCAGGGTAAGTTATGAGACCTACTATACTTTTATCCCCTGGCTGGTATAAGGAGTGTATCGTCGGCTGGTGTGGGCGCTGTTAATGTCTACTGTCACTCCAATTTCAACAGAAAGAGGATTTTTTGTCACAAGCTCAATATTCCGACTTAACATCAAAACAGAAAAGATAGTTCAAATCAGGGAACTTTTTTCCTTCGCTGTCTTTTTTTTCGACAGGGCCGGGAAGAGCAAAGGAACTAGAAAGGAAAGAGATCGAAGCCAAGAGCTTGAAAAAAAACAGAGAAAAAAATACGGCAATGAGATTGATTGAGGCGCTTCGTAACGGAGAGTGGCGGACATTACATTCGAGACAAAAGTTAGAGTCACTAGAAACACTGACACTACCAGGTCATCGATCATAATAGTCGGCGATTAAGTCAGAGGGCCTTGAATGAGAAACGCACTTTGTAGCTTTTGTTTGATTAAGTTCACGCCACCAAGTATATAGCAGCATAAGTAATCGAAGGACTTTAATAATTGTCATTAATAATATATTAGTTTTTGTTTTTAGTATATTAAGGCATATTTTTTTATGTGCATGTATATATGCATATATTTCAGCTATGTAAGCTAGCTGAGTGACACCAAGGTCGATGAATAGCATCTATAAATGCAGCTCACAGAATACACTTCAACCATCTATATCACTATACGTCCTCACCCTAAACATGTTTTCAGCGCTTCTTATCGGCCTGGTTGTCATTAAGTGAACGAGACATAAATACAACACATTGGAATAAAATGGCTTTCAAAAAGTCTCGGAAATATGTCAATAAACGCACAGTGCAGACTCGTAGTAGATGCGATTATTATCTATAAATGCATATGGCCGTTCGAAGAACTTAGTAGGACGTGAAAACCTCTGTAATTTCCCATAAGGGTAAAGTTGTATGAAGCAATGAATAAAAGACGACCTTCTAGGTCTTTGATAATACAGCGGAATAACGCGACTGTGATCTCTGGCATCTGTTTCCAGCCTTTTTTGCCTATTCAAATACAAATTACAAAGCACTATAAAATGAAGTAAGAAAAGCAAGCATGCGACTTTGTATTGTTAGCGGGGAGCTTGAGCACATTCATACTTTTTATGTGTTCTATACAGGTCTGGACGATAGTGCTTTTAAGTGATATAACCAGCGATGGCGGGATCAATTAACTTGAATTGATTATAATAGTCGCGTAGAAGTAATTTACCTTTGCAAAAGTCACGCGCATTCGTAGTCGTCGCGCATATTTCTAGTAGAAGGTAAAGTATTGCCCCTTTCTGCTCCGTTATGTATATTGATGTAGTCGATCTCTTCATACTGATTTGCAATAATCAAAATCAAATAGGATCAATTATCTTGGCACTCAGCGGCGCATAAAGTCCAAGGGTGGGATTTTGGGCTCCAAGGAGCAGGCGCTCTTCCTTTAACACAGGGATTCTGGTTCCCGTTATCGTGCAGCCGCTGCTGAAGCTGCCAACAGCGTAGGGTAAGTCGGACTTTCATCTTGGCTGCATCGTCCCGTTAGATAGCGCGAGTCAGACATTACATTTATCAGTAGTGGGACCGTTGTATCCATACTGCGTGCGGCTCCTGCTAGCACACAGTTCGGGGCCCCTGCCTACTGTTCTATGGTCACTTTCACTCTGGCGCGCACCGGAGCAACATTGTGCTGGTCTTTAGGCGGGGGCGGCCGGGGTAGCGTTGGCCTGCTTTTTCTCCTTCGCAGATTGGGTAACCGGTTCGTACTTTCCTGGCCGACGACACCCGCTTTGATCCCCATCTCCGGCTACTCTCAACCCGCTTCCCTACTTCGCCCGTCCTTCCACAGCATTGAAAGCCGGAGAGTTTAGCAGAGAAACCAAGCTGGGCGCCTCTACGTCAGACGATAGTAGTAAGCCTGGCCGGACGAATGCGAGACAAACGAACGCTATTGCTGGACGTCATGGGACCGGTCGAGTAGTTGGCCTTCAAGTAGGCGACTGCGAGTTATTCTGGGGAACTGCCCCTCGGGCCCGGCTCATACCGCTTGCCCGCGGTGCCTTTCTCGCCTAGCCAAAGCTTATTCGAGTCGAGAACTGCTTTGCACAAGCTATGAGCCTCTTCTACCGGAGATCGCCAAGACCGTGGAAAACAGCCGAGCTCGCGTTGCCAAAAGTAGAAAGCAGGAGGCGGCTGGACAAACAGCCAAACGAACGAACGAACGAACGAACGAACTCAGCGAGCAAAGAAGTCAACCAACAAAGCCCGGAGGGTAAAACACGAGAAGTCCAAGAGGGAAACAGCTACTTTGTCCTTCTGTAGCTACCCATGGGAGTCGCCGTCATGGCGTCGCACTTGTAACGGTGGCAGGGGACGTGGTAACGTTGCATGCTCAGAAGGCAACGCCGTAGTTCTTATAACCATCGTCAAATAGCCAAACGCTTTGCATGAGGAGTCTACTTCGAGAAAGAAAGGCGGACGGATACGGGGAATTTGTGAGCAGGGCTCGTGGGAGAGCTGGCCAACAGACGCAGTCACCAACAGTCACTTGCCTACTGAACACACGCATATATAATCTACATACTGAATCGTCGAAGAAGTATTGACCATTTTCTAGCTGGTTTGTGTCAAGGTCAGATATTTAAGGTAAGGTTCGAAAGCTGAAATTTGGCAGTAGTAAATGTATTGTTTATAGTCAATATCAGTTATCGGAAGACACTGTTTAAAGATGGCTCTGTTATTTTCATCCTGAAAAATTCAATGGGATTCATGTAGTCATCTTCAGGGTCGATCAGAAAACTGATGAAGTAATTGCAGAGGTCGAGTAACAGCGACACTTAAATAGCGATGATTTTGCCAAAAACCAAGCATTACCTAAGAGTTCAATAGCATTTGAACACAGACGGCTATAAGTAACGTTCGAAATTCGGTTGCCAGACAGATTGACAAAGACAGATTTGCTCGACCCCTGAAAAACTTTTCCGTGAGACGCAACAAAATCGAGCCATTTATAAAATTATTTATCACGCCAAATAGATCGAACTCGACAACACCGTTCAATTAAAAAAAAAAAAGAAAAAATGTCCTGTAAGATCTGTGGCAATGCCTCAAAGGGTTGGTACTGGCTGTAGTTGCTGCCGTCTGGCAACGCGATTCATTCCAATTGTTGCTATCAACAATTAACAAAATTATTGTAACCTTTTCATTTCATAAGTCATTTAAAAAA